TGCAACATTAAACACTCAAAGAGCCATTTGGGCCCATTTTCCACAAAAAAGAAAACACCTGGAGCCACAAAATCTGGGTGGGCGTGGCCAACTCGACGTCACTCACTCCACTCCCACCCAATCACATGGGAAACCCCCCACCCACCCAGCCATGCCTACACAGGTGTCATCGCTCCTGGTGTTTTCTTTTCTTTGGGAAACATGGTGGCATCACCCAAGTGGGAGTCGCAGCAGAGGGACGAAAGAGCCGCATGTGGCTTTGCAGCCACGGGTTGCTGACAGGTAGTCCTTGACTTACGACCATTTGTTTAGGGACCGTTCGAAGTCAAAACAGAACTGAAAAAAGTCACATACCACCATGTCTCACACTTACGACTATTTGCATGGCATCCTCATAGTGACCGTTGTAGCATCCCAGGGCTCATGTATCACTGTTTGCTACCTTCTGACAAGCAAAGTCAATGTGGGGGGGAGGCAGATTCACTTAACAACTGTGTTCCTAACTTCACGACTGCAACGATTCACTTAACAATTGCGGCAAAAAACATTTGTGGAAAAGGGGGTCAAAACACACTTTAAGACATGTTTCACTCAGTAACATAAATGTTGGGCTCCGTTATGGCCGTGACGCGAGGATTGCTCGTATTAACATTGTACAATGGGGCCAAAATTCCCTTTACGGCCATCTCGCTTACCAATGTACAATTTGGGCTGAACTTGGGATCGTGAATCGAAGATTACCTGAAAAGTTAGAATGATCTCCCTTCTTTCCGATAAGAAAAAGAGCTTTGTTTGAGGCTGCGGAAACATAATAAATATTTTCTCTCTGGGCTTCCCGTTGCAGGATTCCAACCATGATGCCAGGGCATGGCCGGGGGAGACGACTCCAACTTGCAGCGTTCAACAGGAGGGATCTCTCTGCCTCTCTTCAGCGGTCCCCTTTTCCTCGTGCGATGGAAGGAGGCGTATCTGAGGAGGCTTTGGCCGTGGTGGTCGCTCCTGTGGGTTCCTTGGAGCCCAAGATGAAAGAGGAGAAACCTTGCCCATCCTCAATGCCTGACCTGTTATCCTACTGGAAGGAAAAAGAAGAGGAGGAAGAGGGGAACGCTGCTGACCTCGGCAGTTTTTCACCCTCTCCTTCTGTCCCAACGGTGGTGAAGCAGCACCGCCCTTCCGAAGTCCACGAGATGCTTTCCTACTTAAAAAAGGAGGAGGAGGAGGAGGAGGAGGAGGAAGAGCTGGCTGAGATAGCATCCCTGGCCCCTCTACGTGTTCTTCCACCCCCTGCTCCCCCTCCTGTTCTACCAGCCTATATGGCTACACTGGGTAGGTCCATCCTTCCGGGAGAAAGGAAGATGTTCCCTTTTTTCACGCCCGTAACCCACCTCTCTGATTCAACTCATGCCAAGCGTGTCCGTGACCGGGAGATCTTAACAGCGGGTGGAGTCCCATCACCTGTGCAGAAGAAAACCACCTCGGCTGTTTGGGATTACTTCACTCTGGACCCACAGGAACCTTGCGTGGCTGTTTGTAGCACGTGCCAGAAACGGGTGAGGAGAGGAAAGGACGGAGGCACCCGACCGGGCACCACAGCCCTCCATAAGCACTTGAAGGTCCACCATGGGCTTCTCCTGCCAGGTGTTGCGGTGGTTCCTCCATCTCCGCTGATGCCCCTAAAGGAGAGGTCCCACAGCACTCCCATGGTGGTCACCGAGCCTTCTCCTCCAACCTTCCTATTTGCCCGGCAAGAGAGGAACCAACCCTACTACCCTCCCACCCACCCAACAGCCATCCAGTTGGCTTCCGATACCGCATGGATGCTCGCGGTGGACATGCAGCCTTTCTCCTGCGTGGAGAGTGAAGGATTTTGTCGGCTGATGGCCACCGCTCAGCCTCGTTGGATGATCCCTAGCCGGACGTTCTTCGCCACCAAGGCAGTGCCTGAGTTATCCAAAGTGGTGTCCCGGGCTGTGCGTCAAACGGTGGCCTGCAGCATCGGCCGCATGGTCCATATCACAATAGACACCTGGGGCGACAGGCAAACAGCCATGTACATGTCGGTGACGGGACACTGGATCGCAGAGTTAGCAGGCACCCTCACCAGGCAACACGCCACTCTGTCGGTGTGCACCTTTGAAGGCTGCTCTGCCCCAGAGGACATTTGCCACAAGTTGCAAGAAGTCCTCCAGGATTGGCTGTGCGATCTGAAGACGGGTGGCATAGTGTCCGACAGCGGAACCAATGCAGCAAGGGCGGTGCAAGAGCTGCGCCTCAAGCACGTTCCTTGCCTGGCCCGTTGTCTGAAGCTGGTCACCAAAGTGTTTTTGGCTGGGGATGCTCAAGTCGAACGTCTCCTGAAAACTTCCAGGAGGATATGCAGCTGCTACCGCCGCTCGTCCGCCATCCGACGGCGTCTCCTGGAAGTACAGGCCAACTTGGGCTTGCGTCAGCCTCTGGGGCCAAATGCTCAAGCGAGGTCCAACTCCACCTTGCTGATGTTGGAGTGCCTGTATAGGCAGCGTCAAGCCATCGGGGCCATGCTGGATGAAGACGAAGAGGGCTCCCATCTGCTTTTGGCGCCCGCAGACTGGAAGGTGATGAAGTGCTTGGTGGAGATCTTGAAGCCGTTTGAGGATGCCACTGCGCTGGTTATTCGGCCTGACGCAACTCTCTGCCAAGCCCTTCCTCTCCTGTGGTTCTTGGAGGAACAGCTCAGGGCGTTGCGGACCAGATACTACCAAGAAAATAATAATACCGCAGCTCGCCTGACCACGCAGGCGTTGGACTGCCTTGAGGCTGACAATCAGCTGCGGGAAATAAAGGACAATATGATGTATCGGATCGCGGCCTTCCTTGACCCCCGATTCAGAGACATCACCACCATGAAGCTGGGTGGGACGGACCTGAGTGACGCCGCCCTGCTGAAGGAGCGCATCGTTGACTTGGCCACCAGGTCCTATGTGCCTCCTGGAGGGGCAGATACAGAGTTCTCGCCACTCAGTCACTCTTCTCAAGACCAAAACATCAGTTCCGGCAGCTGTCCCGGCTCAGCAGCTTGGCAGTTCACCATGAAACGCTGGCGGGCCATCACCAAAAGTGATCCTGCTTCCAGTTTGGCTTCTGAAGGGGGAGCAGCCACAGCCCTTCGGGAAATGGAAGAATATCTCCACGACAACGTAGACCATATTGGAGAAAACGCGGACCCCATGCTGTATTGGCAAGGGAAGATGGCGATGTGGCCGGCTCTCTTCAAGGTGGCCGTATTCCACTTTGGGTGCCCGCCAACATGTTCGTCATCTTCTGAAGATCTCTGCGGAACTCCCAGTTCATCAGGATCAAGAGACCACCCCAAGAACCTTTCCCCAGCTAACGTTAAAATGTTTGCGTTCATCCGTAAGAATCGCCACCTCATCCCTCCAGATTGGAGGCTCTCCCTTGGAGATCTTTCTTCCCAGAGTCCCCTGGGTCCAAGAGAAGACCTGAGTGTGGAAGAGGAAGATGACCTTCTAAGACTGGATGAAGAGCATGAGGACAAGTGACGAAGAAAACTTCTGGACATGGATTGCTATAGTGGCATACCCTTATTCGTTTGTTACAGCCACAATAACTGTCTTCTCATACCTTATAGAGGTTCTTACACTTGTTAACATTGATTGAAGGTTCCAAATGGCACCTTTGAATTGATAAATGAAGACTCAATCATCCAGGCCTAAAGTATCTAAAAATGATTACTGTATTTTTCGGACTATAAAATGCACTCACCGCCCCCCCTAAAAGTGGGTGGAACTGTCTATGTGTCTTATAGAGCAAATGTTGCCAAAGCCCTGCCCACCCGCCGGCCCCCATCCTTCGGCCTCTGCCTCTTAGCAATTTGCTTCCTTGCAGCAAACAGCAAACAGCCTGAATTAGCAAGAGAAGCTGATTGACGGTTGGATCGGCCTCCCAGAATACCAATGATCAGCTGTTTCAGACTGTGGGGATTGCCACTGCTGTCTCTGCCTCTGCGCATCCCGTTTCGGCCTCTGTGCACCCCATTGTTGGCCTCCGCTTGCCCCATTTTCGGTCTCCGTGCATCCTGTTTTCGGTCCATTCCAGGCGGTGGGGATTGCTGCGGATTGCTGCCGCCATTTGGTGTTGTTAGGCAGCAGCGGCAGTGATCTCCGCCACTTGGAACGGTCTGAAAACAGGATGCGCGGTGGCCGAAAATGGGACATGTAGAGGCGGTGTTAGGTGGCAATGACGGCTATGGGCAGTGGCAATCCCCGCAGCCTGGAACAGCTGATCATCGGTATTCCGTGTGGCCGATCCAACCGTCAATCAGCTGCTCATGCTAAATCAGGCTGTGTTGAAGCTGACCAGTCTGTTTGCTGTTTGCTGCAAGGAGGCAAATTGCTAGGAGGTAGAGGCAGATTTTTTGTTCTTGTTTTTTCCCTCAAAGGGTAGGTGTGTCTTCTAGTCCGAAAAATATGGTAAATCATGGCAACTGGACCAAAGTTTGTTAAATTGTGGCATTTTGTTACCCATCCAAGTAATTTCTTCAGTCAATTTTTTAAAAAAATTAGAGAGTTTCTCCCCAAAATGTATTGCAAGGTGTAAATGAAGACTCAATCATCCAGGCCAAAAGTATCTTAAGAAGGTGAAATCAGGGCAACTGGACCAAAGCTTGTTAAACTGAGATGTTTCGTCACTCATCCACATAACAAGAGTTAGTATGTTCCAACTACTTTCTGACTCTCCGCCTTACTATTTCTTTTTATTTTGACTGAAGAAGTTACTTGGAGGGGTAATGCAACATCTCACTTTGATAAGATTTGATCCAGTTGTCTGGGTTTGACCTTTTTACACACTTGAAATCAACTTTTCTTCTTCTGGTCTTATATCTAGACTTGTGGTAGTGTGGTGGTATCTCCCCCATTTCACATGTAGAAAAGTAGTTTCTGTTTTTTTGGTACTCAACTGATAAAATTCTCGAAATAGGGTGAGGAGCAGGGGTGGGTTCCTGCCCCTTCTAACCTCTTCTATAGAAGAGGTT